CCTTGTGCTAAGAAAACATTATGGCTAAGAGCCTAAGAAATGCCCACTAGAACAACTGACAGAAAGGAACCATCCCTAACCCCACAGACACAGAACACATAGGAACATTGAGCGTTCATCATAATAATTTTTTTTAAAGGACAGATCGACTTTAATTTATTATTTGTATATTTCATGCCCTCATAGCCTTAGATAGTTAGAAAATAAATAGTTGGGTAACAATCTGGTCACCCAGTGGATCAAGAAAAAGGAAAATCACCTTTCCCACTCCAAAAAATTAAACTGCAGCTGAATAATGACACTTCTGTGGTGTCTGATTGAGATTTGACTCATAAGGAAAAGAGTTATTCACTGTTATCACCATTATTGAAAAGTTTCCTGAGTTTTTTTTTATGACATCTAACCTTAGAATATAAATCACAAAAAGACAGACTTATCTGGAATGAAAATAGGATCAAAATATTAAACAAAACAACAACAACAAAACACCATGTCTCTCATTTGCACAATACCAATGAATCTGTGTGTATAAAACAAAATGTGAAGATTAAAATTTGAAATTTTCTGGTCTTGGTATGTTAAACTAGTATTATATGTGGCTTTTTTTTCTTTAAGACAAACCTGGGCTTGTCTTCCTATTACTTTTTAATCAATAAATATATTTGATGACATTTAAAAATGAATATGAGTATATGGATTATATAAGCAGAAACAGCTTATAATTCTGAGATATTTAAAAATAAAAGGTACCAGTAGTGTTTAGAAATGTTTGTTGATAATACCATCTCCTTTTTCAGTCCTCTAGAATCAGAAATAATTTTGATCACATGATGACAAAACATGAAAAATTGCAGTCCAATTTAATTGTGCTTTAGAAAATGTAAAAATCCATATATGTTTCAAAATATTTGAGTTTCTAAAAGAGATTCCTATTTAGCAACATCTGTTTGAAAAAATTAAAAAGGTAGATGGAAAAAAGAAATTAGACACTCGAGATTAAGTTCATGATCTTGGATCCAATTTCTGCCAGATAACATCTGCCTTTGATTTCCCCTATGCTACGACTTAAAATTGGATACATTTCTAATGCCCTAAATAAGTTGTGTAATGTGACTCAGGGCTATTTAAAGGCCTGTAATGTACCCTTCTGGCATTACCTATGAATAGATAATGGGATTATTTAATGTTTGTAATTTTTTAAAAGTCCACAACTCATCCATTTTTAAGACCTTATAATCGAATCATTATTGATTCTCTTGCCATTGGTACCCAGATCACAAAAAATGACATTGAAGGAGGGAATAGAATCAAGACATTTGAGATCTATTTTTGGTTATGCTTTCACTCATTGTACAGACATTAATTAATGTTTTAAACATTTTCCTCACTTTATTATGCTACAAAATGAAAAAGTAAACTGCTGGGAAAATGTCTAACTTAAATACAAAATATATGGCTTTATTAATAATCCCTGAATGATTTACAGATGTCAAACTATAATATTACATTTCTGCTTTCAGAAAAATTTAAAATATACTGAGTACACAAGTCCTAGGAAATAAAGATGTCTGCCCAGACAATATATCCACATAGCAAAACTGCATGTGTACCCCTTAAATTTATACAAATAAAAAAGGTTTTAAAATAAAGATGTCTATTATGAGCATTTAAAAATAGTAACTCCATATCTGAGTATTTAAAGAAGGCATTTCATAGCATTTCTCAAATGACAAGGACAATTGCCTGAATTTTAAATGTTTTATGCAGAGTTCATTATGTTTGTACAAAATGTGAAATATAAGGGCTCCTACACACATTTTCTGCCCAGAAAAACCCAATTTGAGATAGTAGAAATTTAGGGGCTCTAGGCACCAAATACTAAACACAGAAAAATTGGAGCTACAAACTTTGATGGCTGATCTTTTTGTTCTTACTTTGCTGCCCCACTGTGGCTGAATGCAGTTATATCTCCAAGGCTGAGACCTGTGCTATAAAAGGAACTACAGTATCCACAGGGAATGGGTTCCAGGACCCTCTAGCGATACCAGAATCTGTGGATGCTCAAGTTCCTTATATAAAATGACATAGTATTTCCATATAACCTACATATATCCCCCATATATTTTTTCTTTATTTTCAATGTTTTTATTTTATTTTTTCTCCCATATACTTTTAAGGCATCTCTAGGTTACTTATAATACCTAATACAATAGAAATGTTTTAGAAATAGTTGTTATACTGTATTGTTTAGGCAATAACGAGAAAAAATAAAAGTGTGTATATATTCAGTACAGATGCAACCATACCACTTTTTTTCTGAATATTTTTGATCTGCAGTGGGTTGAATACACAGAAGTGGAACCCATGAATGCAGGAGATTGACTATAATCTCTTTCCATAATTTAAAAAGGTGAATCATTGTGATTCATTAAAGGAAATATTAAGGGCATGTAACCCTTTCTCTTGCTTGCCACAGAGATTTTTTAATGAATTAATCCTCATACTGAATTATTTTATTTTTATTTTATTTTATTTTATTTTTGAGACGGAGTCTTGCTCTGTCACCTAGGCTGGTGCGATCTCAGCTCACTGCAACCTCTGCCTCCCGGGTTCAAGTGATTCTCCTACCTCAGCCTCCCAAGTAGCTGGGATTACAGGTATCTGCCATCATGCCCAGCTAATTTTTGTATTTTTGTAGAGATGGGGATTTCACCATGTTGGCCAGGCTGGTCTTGAACCCCTGACCTCAGGTGATCCGCACGCCTTGGCCTCCCAAAGTGCTGGGATTACAGGCATGAGTCACCGTGCCTGGCCCACACTGAATTATTTTTAACAGTCATAGCTTAATTCCATGCAGTAGTCAAAAACATTCAGGAACCTCCACCTCCTCTATCCTCTGCTGAGAATTTAACACAAGGGTAAGCATAGCAGGTTCAAGAGGGCCAAAAAAGTGGAGCTCCTCCCATCATCCCAAAGGTCTTGCAGGTGCTGCCCTCTGCTCCCTGCCTCTCTCTTGAACAGCACCTCACACCTCACTTCCCCTTCATTTATCATGCTCCAGCCATATGCATCTTTTCTCAGTTCCTCGCACATACCAATTTCTCTTTTTCCCTTAGGGTCTTTCACATGCAGGTCCTTCCACAGGAAACATTCTTTATCCTGCTTGTAACAGGAGTAATGCCTCCTTGTCCTTCAAATCTCAGCTTAAGTGTCATCTCCCCACAGGCCTTCCTTAACCAGCCCATCCCTTCCTTGCTGCCCTGTCTCCATTTATTCTGTTGCGATAATTATCACATTTTGTAATGATTTAATATATCATTGAAAAATGTGATAATTATTACAAAAGAACAATACTCTTTACTTTCGTTGTTGTTGTTCTGTCTTCCTGACAAGAATGTAAGCTTCATGAGAATTACATGGCGCCTGCTTGGCCACCATGAGAATCCCATTGCCTAAAACAGTGTCTGCTACACAGAAGAAACTTGATAAATCTCTGTTGAATGAATGAATGGGTGTGTAATATGTGGCAAACTCTCCCTTTTGACGCTTTCTTCTGCTGTTTCCTATGGCCTTGTTCGTCCCTCCCAGGTTTGCTCCTACTTCTGTGACTGCACCTTCTCAGAATTCTCTTTCGCCCCTGAGTTCAGCAGTCAGCTGGCTCTGGCTCTCTTCTCTTCCCTTGCACCCTTTCTCTCTTTGCTCATCACATCCGCTCAGTGCTCCCACCGTCCTATCTGTGAGAATGACACTGACAGTCCTACTTCTCTTCCCTAACACTAGGTCCACTTTGCCAACTTCCACCCAGCATCTCCACCTGGGTGTCTTCCCTGCACCGCAAATTGAGTATGCCCAAAATGGAAATCACACCTGGGCCCCTTGTTTCTGTTAGCAGCCACCATCATCCCAGTCATCCAAACTCAAAACTCCAGAGTCTTCATCTCTCACAGTTTCTGTGGCTAATCTATATTAAAAACCAAGATGATCCTCTGTATCCTGCATTTCTCATGGGATGGTTATGACAATCAAATGAGATCAGGCTTCCTAGCCCTCAACCCATTAGGCAAACAGGAAGAGGTGCCAGGTACTTACTCGGAAAGTCTCTGCCTCTTCGCCTACTAGCCCAGCGATGGCTGACAGTGGCAGCACGGGTCCATAGATGAGATCTTTCGGCAACGACTGGGGGAAAACGACATCTGTTTCATTAAAAAATGACCCATCTTCTAGAGGTAATTTTACTGACCTGTAGACAAAAGAGGCATCAGAACAATCAGATGAACAGAAACTTCTTTTTGATGCAACCACTGCATATCAATGTAAGTGAAGTGGGGAGGTATTATAACTTATAAAAATCAAGAAGATAAAAGCCAAATGATAGATTTAAAAATAGATAACAGGTTGTAAAAAGACAAGTTATACAGTTTTAAACTAAGTACTGAGGGATTATAAACATTTTTGAAAGCTAATATCTAAAGCAGGAGTTGTAAATTTGAATACTGGATGGGGGTCAGGCAGGTGATATGTGACTGTTGAGGATGGTGGAAAGTGGGAAAATATTTGTCCCTCCTCAAGGTGGCAGGTACCACTCAGTTCAAGCCAAGAGGGTTGTTGACATGTGAGAATTTTGATTCCAAAATTTCAAGAGAATACTATAACCTGGATATTTATGAGAAATCTCTCAAACTTTAAATGTTGGCAACTAATTCAAATGAAAAACACTGTAGGCCAAAATAAATATATATTTAAACACATATTCAGGCTGTATTCAGCTACTTTTATAATCTCTGATATTGAGTTCATTTTCAAATTTATTATATACCTACTTTTAATTTATAATATGGTTATAAAGGTTAATTTGGAGAATTGGTGGCTTCATGCATTAAATTCAAAACTTCCTTGCCTAGATTTTATGAATGATAAACAATTTTGAAAAACAATTGAGGGCGGTTCCAAGATGGCCGAATAGGAACAGCTCCAGGCTACAGCTCCCAGCGTGAGCAACACAGAAGACGGGTGATTTCTGCATTTCCAACTAAGGTACGGGGTTCATCTCATTGGGGCGTGTCAGACAGTGGGTGCAGCCCACCGAGCAAGAGCTGAAGCAGGGCGAGGCATCGCCTCACCTGGGAAGCACAACAGATAAGGGAATTTCCTTTCCTAGCCAAGGGAAACCGTGACACACAGCACCTGGAAAATCGGGTCACTCCCACCCTAAAACTGCGCTTTTCCAAGGGTCTTACCAAAGGGCACACCAGGAGATTATATTCCACACCTGGCTCAGAGGGTCACACGCCCACAGAGCCTCCCTCATTGCTAGCACAGCAGTCTGAGATCTAACTGCAAAGCAGCAGCAAGGCTGGGGGAGGGGCACCAGCCATTGCTGAGGCTTGAGTAGGTAAACAAAGCAGCTGGGAAGCTCGAACTGGGTGGAGCCCACCACAGCTCAAGGAGGCCTGCCTGCTTCTGTAGACTCCACCTCTGGGCACAGGGCATAGCCAAATAGAAGGCAGCAGAAACCTCTGCAGATTTAAATGTCCCTGTCTGACAGCTTTGAAGAGAGAAGTGGTTCTCCCAGCATGGAGTTTGAAATCTGAGAACGAACAGACTGCCAGCTCAAGTGGGTCCCTGACCCCCAGTAGCCTAACTGGGAGGCACCCCCTAGTAGGAGCAGACTGACACCTCACATGGCCGGGTAACCCTCTGAGACGAAGCTTCCAGAGGAACATTCAGGCAGCAACATTTGTTGTTCAGGAATATTCACTCTTCTGCAGACTCCACTGCTGATACCCAGGCAAACAGGGTCTAGAGTGGACCCCAGCAAACTCCAACAGACCTGCAGCTGAGGGTCCTGACTGTTAGAAGGAAAACTAACAAGCAGAAAGGACATCCACACCAAAACCCCATCTGTATGTCACCATCATCAAAGACCAAAGGTAGATAAAACCACAAAGATAGGGAAAAATCAGAGCAGAAAAGCTGAAAATTCTAAAAATCAGAGCACCTCTCCCCCTCCAAAGGAACTCAGCTCCTCACCAGCAATGGAACAAAGCTGGATGGAGAATGACTTTGATGAGTTGAGAGAAGAAGGCTTCAGATGATCAAACTTCTCTGAGCTAAAGGAGGAAGTTTGAATCCATTGCAAAGAAGCTAAAAACCTTGAGAAAAGATTGAACAAATGGCTAACTAGAATAACCAATGTAGAGAAGTCCTTAAATGACCTGACAAAGCTGAAAACCATGGCACAAGAACTACGTGACCAATGTACAAGCTTCAGTAACCGATTCGATCAACTGGAAGAAAGGGTGTCAGTGATTGAAGATCAAATGAATGAAATGATGCGAGAAGAGAAGTTTAGAGAAAAAAGAGTAAAAAGAAACAAACAAAGCCTCCAAGAAATATGGGACTATGTGAAAAGACCAAATCTACATCTGAT